GCTTCGGGTTCCTTGCCAGCAACCCATCATGCTGAAGTGGGGGGTGGGAATGTTTTCTCCACAGTGAAAGAAATCCCCTCCCTCCCCAGGTCTTACCTGCCACAGCCGCAGACAAAGCTATCAGGACCACTGCCACGGAGACCACCAGTCGCATGGTTGCACCTCCTGGTGGGGCAAAAGACAGTGGGGCTATTGATGGCCAAGCAGAAAATAACCCCCACTAGATTCAAATGCTCCTTTGATTAGGCAGATGAATCAATGGCTCCAATTTCATTTTAAGTTCCCAGAATTTGCAGGCGGCATGGCCAAAGTCATTCTGGGAGTTGAAGTCCCAAACATCTGGAAGTACCAGACAAACTACAGATGCTACGGGTGGCGAAGGGTCTTCTAACACGGCCCTTCTTAAGAAGGCATTCCATTCCAGGTGTCTTGCATAACCGTCCCCATCATGCCCAGCCAGCAGAGCTGCAGAATAACAGGATTTGTAGCCCTCACAACCCAAAAGGGGGTGGTGGTCCTGGTTGGGAACAGCTCCCTCAATGGGTGCTCTCCTGGATGAACTGTTCACCATTGAAAAATGGAGAAGGGAAATCCAGTGTACAAGGAAGGGAGAAATGCATTGAGAAAATGGAGAAATAGCAAAAGGGGGGGGGGGAATACACCCTATTAGGAATTGGCTCCGTTTGGATCTCTGTAAATAAAGCCCATCTTGTAAAATCTTCACAAATTCCTTATTCAAAAGCAGAACCATCCACTGGGGGTGGGGTGGGGGTGTCAAAAATATAAGGATGAGAACCTCAATTGCCTGGTTGCTCTCTGACTTTTTTGACCCCCCCCCCCCCCCGGACTCCCCTGCTTCTAGCAACTTTTCTTTCCATGCCTTTCGCAGCGTCTGCTCCTGGGTCATTACAAATGTTCATTAATGCTGAGAGAATCATTCTAAATAGGTGGAAAGGACTCTATCCTCATGAGGTTGAAGAACATGTCCTTTATTGATTTCTAAAATGTCTTTGCATTGTAAAAACAAAAATAGTCTAGATTTAGCAATATGTTAAAGAACTCTGCTAGTTCCATGTTAATATTTCATGGATATATTTCAGTCTCTTCAAATGTAATTCATTTTAATCACTGTATATATTTTTTTATTTTACTAGCAAAACATATTTTGTCAATAAATCCTATTTTAATCTATTTATTAAAATGCATTTTCATTTTAATCCATTTTCACTTCACTTCATCACCTTTGGGGATTGCTACATTTCACTAATAAAACAATCTTTTAAAATGTAATAAATCAGAGGGTCCAAACCGGTGAAGAACTTCCAGCCATTCTCAACCTTGGCCACTTTGAGACATGCGGACTTCAACTCCCAGAATTTTTTTCTGGTTTTTTTTTTACATTTTTAAATAAGAAAGAGGGTTTTTTTTACATTTTTAAATAACGCATGCAGCTACTGTTAAAAACGTAAGTCAAGTTGCATTATCCTCATCCCCGTGACCATCCGCCTAACACATTCTCTGTGAATCCCCAGTGCCATTTCTTTTGCATTCACCAGGCCAAAAATCATTTTAAAAGGAAAAAGACATCATTATAGATTTTTCAGCTGAATGAGTTGATTCTTCCCCCATCATGCTAACCAAAGCTGGCCTTAGGTCTCCCCGGCCCCCTTCCTTGCCCTTCACTTACTTGCAGCTGGGAGTGGAGGAATAGTCAGAGGTGGAATCTGACTGCTCCTCTCACTGCTTCTCCCTATAAACCAGGCACCCTGCCTCCGTCACCGGCCCCCGTCGAGGGATAAAACCTGACCCACGTTTTTCTTTTCTCTCCTCCCTACAATTAGATTGCTTCATCTCTGCAGGAAATGAAACGGCAGCCAGAGATAATTTTTTTTCCCTCTATGTGTGCGATCCAGTTTCTTCTCCATTAAAGTCTGTCCACTGCAGGAAAAGAAAAAGGAAGAAGGAACAGAAAAAAGGAAATATAAATATATATATATTTCCCCAGTTGTTCCCAGCTTAAGATTGGCGGAGCAAGTTTCAAACAGGGAAACGTGAAAGATTCCTGCTTTATCTATTGGTTGGAGTCAAACATCCTTCAAAGATCTTTAAGTGATGGGACAGGAAGGATAATTAATCCTTAGGAACCTCATGATTAGCTGCAAGCCCTATTTTCCCCCCCGGGAAGCATTTGCTTCTCCTAGTGCTGAGTTGGCAAAACTGTGCTGGAATTTCTGGAGGTAGCATCTCTTCCAGCACCTGCCTTCATGAGCAACGTAGATCATCGGATGCGTGAAGTGGTAAACAGAATGTTTTTTTTAATACATTAAGATTCCTCATGGATGAGGTGCTTGCCATCGGTCTCACGTGGAACCAGCATCTGCATAACCACTGGTCCCCCAAGCTTTCCTCATGCCCTTTTCAAGCCCCTCTCTGATGAAGTGGGCTGCCCATCTCAAAAGCTTCTGCCTTTTAATAAAACTCGTTAGTTGGAAAAGGTGCTGGTAGACTCCTGATTTTCTGCCACCGTAGACTAACACACCTCTCCTTCTGCAACCCTGGAATTTCAGTGGATCTCTTCTGAGTGTAATTCAGGGTCAACAGTCTATGGCAGTGTTTCTCAACCTTGGCCACTTTGACTTCAACTCCCAGAATTGGACTTCAACTCCTAGAATTCCCCAGCCAGCATGGCTGGCTGGGGAATTCTGGGAGTTGAAGTCCTTCCATCTTAAAGTGGCCAAGGTTGAGAACCACTGGTCTATGGAGCAAACTTCATGTAGGTGAACATCAGAACATGCAGAGGTAGATGTCAAGGCAGGTCCCTTAAAACAAAAAAGTTTACATGGCTTTGCATCAGCCAGATGCAATTCCTCATCTCCCCAGTTCAGAAATACTTCTCTCCCCCACCACCCCAGGTGAGATTGGCCCCAACCCTATTGGCCTTCTGGAAGACCCTCAAAACATGGCTTTGCCATTGGACCTGGGGATCTCGTGGAAGCACGGAGCCTGTTAAATGGCTGGTATAAGTCTAGGCTGTCTTCTTCCCTGTCTTTCTGGTTATAGTTTTTTAAAATTGTTTTCATTGGTTTTAATGGGTGAATTATGCCAAGTGTTGTGTTTTTGTTTTAATCGTGTAGGCCGCCCAGAGTCGCATACATATGAGATGAGCAGTCTGCGTAAATTGAATGAATGAATGAATGAATGAATGAATGAATGAATGAATGAATGAATGAATGTTAGGCCACAAGTAATGAGATAGAGACACCTTGTCGTTAAGATTCTGTTGTCCAGATCTGGCTTAAGGCAGGACCCTAACTTCCAAACAGAAGAAGCTGAATTCAGATATAAAACATGTTGGCAAAGATGCCAACTTTTATTCCAGCCAGGGTTGCCATATTTTTCAGCATCCAGAAAAGCGAGCAGATTTTCACCTTGGATATATTAAATAGAGCAGATGCTTTTGCATTCTCCGGTTGGCAAAACACCAAAACCCCGAAAACGGGTGTTTGGCTTTGGATTTTTGCTCTCGTTTAATAATGTTTTGGTTCATTGTCAAGTGTTTTCCCAGAATGTTGGAAAGACAGATGCTCTGGCTGATTAGCGTGAGTCCCAGCGCCCGCTTACTAAGCCAAGAACAGAGCCCTGGGAGTTGGGGGAAGGAAAAGTCGAAAGCTATTGTTAGCACCGAGGAAAAGCCGTGAGCTTCTGCATGCTGAGTATCTTGGAAGGGGTTCAGTGGTACAAGAGGCATTTTGCCCGCTAAAAGTCCTGGGTTCGAAACTTGGTATCACCAGTCTTTCTTTTGGAAGGAGCCCTTAGCAAGCAATGAGAAACACCTCTGCTTGATATTGTGGAATATTTTTCTGCTAGATACACTTACAGTATAGTATAAAGACATTCCTGGGTCTCTGGAAGAAGAATAAAGTTTCCAGATCTACTTCAGAACTAGTAGATCATAAGAGGGATAGAATTTTCTCCATTGCACAGTTGAATTTTCTGATACTCAGCAGCATATTTGCCCTGAACACAAAGCATCCATTTATCTATCATGGCTCAAAAGTTTGAAATGGGTAGAATTTAAAATTAATTTTACTTAGCTCCCACCATTTTATTTTCCAAGCTGTTCTGGTAGGCGAGTGCAACCCAAGGGAAAATCTGATTTGAACTGGAACACTGATCCAGTTTTGAATGGATGCAGAAAATCCATCCCATTAGATATAGACGTTCACACTGAAATTCAGATTAGGTGGTTTCAATTTGGATTTCCCAATCAAGAAAAAGGAAATTTTGATTTGGAGATCAGATCAAAGTGACTCTGGGAATCAACAACAGTTTACTGATTTTACTGTATTAAAGGAGAAGGCACCCAGAATGAGTTGGGAGTCAGGTGGCTTTTAAATATAAATACATCAATGAATCTACGTATTCTACTGGGCTAGCAAAAATGTAATTATATAGCTTTACAGTTATTTGCATGCTACCTCCTCAATCAGTTTTAGAGTTCAAGCAGTGATTCCATAAGCTATCTATGGGTTGGGAGAATTAGAATGAATGAATAAATGAATGAATTAATGAATGACTCATTGAGGTCACGGACCACAACATAACAAAACAAAGCATGAATATTTACGAACACTGATAATTACTACCCATCTTTGGGCAGACTTTACACACAAAGTTACAGAACGTTGTGACATTTATGGAAATAAAAATATGTTTATTGTCTGATAAAATATATCAGGGTGCCCAGGATTGGTATTCCCTTTCAAGCCATCTAACTGCTGTTGGCCACTCTAACTGGATAACCTGATTTCCTATAGCAAATACACCTTTTACAATGTTATGTTTACTGGGGGTCCCATCACCACAGAGTCCTTACCTATGGTTTTCATTGATAATGTGTATTGTGTGTTTGTGTGTAAGTGCGTGTGTGTTTATGTGTATTAATTTGGTGTATTTACTTCACTCGAAAGGAGGAGAAGGAGAAGGAGAAGGAGAAGGAGAAGGAGAAGGAGAAGGAGAAGGAGAAGGAGAAGGAGAAGGAGGAGAAGGAGGACCTGACCACCTACATGATTTTACAAGAAAGGGAAATCTGGTTCCAAAAAGTAAGAACTATACGTAACATGGAGAAACAATCAGATTAAATGTGTTTAAGCATCCCAACAGGTTTGATGAGTGTTGCCAAAGACAGAAGGCACAAGACTTCCAATGTTTCAACACTTGTCCTGACAAGTTTCAGTTCTTGGGGTTATGAGAACTAAGCATGTGTAGAAGGCTTCCAGAATAAGGTGCCTTCTTGCTCCCCTTTCAGCCGTGCTCCTCACTTTCCTTCTGAGGTTCTTGCTTGAACAGTATTGCTAATGGCAACCATGGGACTCTCATAATTCATAAGCGTAATAATAATAATAACTCACTCGACTTTAGGGTGTTTGCAGGGGCATCCAAAAAAGTCAAGATGGCATAGAAAAAAAGCTGGACTCTAATTGCAAGGTTGGGGTGCCATCTTGACTTTTTTGACCCCCTCCCTGCTGACTCCCGCGTGAGACTCAGACGGCCACTGAATCAGACAGACTGAAGGCAGCTTCCATTAAAAACTCAATAAAAGCACACCATTCAAATGCAAAAGATGTAACAATCAAACAACACTATGAGGAGTACATAGAAGAAAACCATCTCAACCATCATTCAGCAGGACCATAAAACAGCCATTAAGGTGCCAACATGATTGTGGTTTCATCTGGGGGGGGGAAGGGGGTTTTGAATGTGCATTGGAGATTAAACCTTCATGTTTGAGAGGGTGTGTGTAAAGAACCATCTCCATGCTCACATGGGCCCCCAGACCAGTGCTTCTCAAACTTGGCAACTTTAAGACAGGTGGACTTCAACTTCCAGAACTCTGGGAGTTGAAGTCCACCCATCTTAAAGTTCACTAGCATGCTGGCTGGGGAATTCTGGGAGTTGAAGTTTACATGACTTAAAGTTCCCAAGTTGGAGAAACACTGCCCTAGACCAGCTTTTCCTAAGCAGAGATGTCCCATCCGGAGACAGTTGGAATATGGCTCTGATCGCTCCTAGGGGTTGGTGATGGGGGCTGTAGTCCAAAGCATTGAGGCCGTCTTCAAGCTTCATCCAACAGATACGTAGCACCCTAAAACAATAGCGTTGACTGTAAGCCTGGCCATTCAGAGGAACCAAAAGCGAGCCCTTCTGGTCTGTAGGGCCGGCCCTACCGTCAGACCGAGGGAGGCAGCTCCTTCAGCTGGCAGACGGTAAAGGCTGGTCAGAGACAGGGGTGTTGGAGAAGAGAGCTCACAGCTCGGAGGCTTTGCTCGGAGCCGAGGATCTTGTCGTGCCAGTTCCAGGGAGCAGAATTAGGACGAGGAGCCATCCTCTGCTTTGCCACCGACAAGTAAATGAGTTGGGCTGATCCTGGGAAACTCTGCTTATGCGAGAAGTTGGCCCTGCGTTGGAAGAGCCGGTGCCCCATTTCCACAGGCGTTGCGCAACTCCCGCAAAGAGAATGGGAGCCCTTTTAATTTCCGGGCATGGAGCTCCGTGGAACAAACTGTCCGATCCCACAATGCGCCTTTTCTCCTCCGATTGTGCCCTGGCAACCCTGTCGATGGGAAAGGAGGAGCCGGGAGTTTATTCGCGTTCATTGCAAAGTGTTTGTGCAGAGATCTAAACCTCCTTTATTTCCCCTTTCCACTCACAGATGTTGAACGATAGTAACCTTATCCCTTTAGGAATCTTTCAAGATTTGTTTTAT